TTCTCGACATAATGTTTGTGTCTTTACCTGACCATGTTCTTAAATTTGGGCAACATGCTGCTGATTCTTTTTCCTATCACGACCTTTTATACTTGTCATACAAAATCCGTCCCCCTAAAGCTAAGTCAAGGATACTACTTCAGCGTAACTTTAGTGACTTGGATTTGGAGCAGCTTTTAAATGACGCTGTAAAGATTGATTGGAGTGTAGTCGTCAATGCGTCTACTGTTGATGAACAGGTTGCTTTGTTCAACTCTCTGTTAATTCAGCTTTACGACGTTCATGCTCCTGTTCGACCAGTGCGTGTAAAGCATCCTCCCTCTCCTTGGCTGACCGATGATATAAAAAAAATCATCCACATTAAAAATTGTGCCAAAGCTAAATACAAGTCAGTCCCTAGCGATTTGAATAGAGAGAAGTATAGATTAGTACGGAATCGTTGCAACAATCTGTGTAGAAAAGCACAACGACGCCATATCCATGAATCAGTACAAGATCCTGATCCTGCTAGGGTCTGGAAATTTCTTAAATCCTTAGGAGTTGGGAAATTACGACAAAATCTCACACACCATAACCTTGATCTCAATCAACTTAATTTGCATTTCTCATCTTCTTCTTGCATTAACGATAAAGCAAAACATAATACTTTAGATTCTCTTTCAAAAGCTCCCACTCCGGACACCCCTGCTTTTAATTTTAGCCAATTTAACAGTTGTGATGTTAAGAGAGCCATAATGTCCATCCATTCAAATTCGATTGGTAGTGACTGCATTAGTCGGAAAATGGTCATCCCTCTCATTGATCTCCTTTTACCTATAATCACGTCTATCCTGAATAAATCACTGAATTCTGCTTTTTTACCTTCATCTTGGAAAGACGCATTTGTAGTTCCTCTTCCGAAAAAGTCAAATCCCTCTAGTTTTTCCGATTATAGACCTATCTCTATTTTGCCTTTCTTTTCCAAAGTTCTAGAACGTCTTGTGCACAATCAATTAAGCACCTATCTTTTAAAACACAATCTTTTAAATCCCTTGCAATCCGGTTTCCGTCCTGGCCATAGTACGACTACTGCACTTTTACAAATCACTGATGATATTCGGTATGGTATGGAGAAACAAAAGCTTACTATTCTCACGTTGCTCGATTTTAGTAACGCATTTAATACTGTAGATTTTGATATCTTGTTAAGCATCCTACGCTCTCTCAACATATCTCCAACTGTAGTCGACTGGTTTTGAAGTGACTTGTTTGGTCGCCGACAGCGAATTCAGGTGCAAGAAGATTTTTCCACCTGGATTACTACAGCTGCTGGTGTACCACAAGGTGGCGTGTTGTCTCCTCTCCTTTTTGCAATTTTCATTAACTCTATAAGTCATAATTTGTCCTCTTCCTACCACTTGTATGCTGATGATCTCCAAATCTATACTCAGTCCTCTCTTGAAGATCTATCTAAAGCAGTTGACACTATGAACGCTGATCTGACTTGTATTTCGAATTGGAGTAAATGTTATGGTTTAACGATTAATCCTAAGAAAACTCAGGTCATTGTCATCGGTAGTTCTAGATTAATTGGTAAAATTGACTGGTCTTCCCTACCCCCTATTATACTAGACTGCACTCTAATCCCTTACAGTAACAAGGTTAAAAACCTGGGGTTGTATCTTGACTCCTGTATGTCTTGGACCTCACAGGTTAATGAGGTCAGTAGAAAAATGTTTGCTGCGTTAAGCTCTTTACGTAGATTATGTAATTTCCTTCCCACAGCAACTAAAGTTACGCTCGCCCAGTCTCTTCTTCTGCCTATCCTTGACTATGCTGATATTTGCTATCTTGACATTACCGAGGAGCAGCTTAATAAGCTTGAGCGCATTCAAAATGTATGCATTAGATTTATATTTGGGCTTCGCAAATATGATCATATCTCCGAATTTCGCAAACAGCTCAAATGGCTCCCGATCCGCCTTCGCAGGAATACTCACATTCTCTCCGCGTTGTATAGTGTGCTGTTTAATCCTTCTACTCCTCTTTATTTAAAAAACCGTTTCCAGTATCTTTCTCTTACCCATAATCGGTTCCTTCGATCCTCCATCAATCTTTCTCTCTCTACACCTTTGCACTCTTCTTCCTTTTTCAAGAAATCCTTCACCGTAACCGCTGTGCGATTGTGGAACTCCTTACCTCTCCATATTCGTCGTGCTAAATCTCTTCACTCTTTCAAAATTCTTGTTAAATCGTATTATTTAGAACGCTATTAGATAAATTACTTTACCTTTCTCTTACTCTTTTCATTTAATCCATTATATGATATTTTATATATAACTTTCACTTACTTTTATTTGTATGTATTGTTGTATTTTTTTTATTATTTTGTATGCCCCCCCTCTATTTGTAACTTTTGTTTGCATCATTCCTCTACGCAAAGGTTGTCTGGAAGAAATCACTTTCAGTGATAAGACCGCCTATTGTACATACTTTAATTAGTTGTAACTATATTGATGTTTCTGTATTGTGGTGTACAAAAAAGGATAAATAAATAAATAAATAATAAATAAAATGGTGTTGATAGTTATGTCCTGCTGTTATCGAGTTTATTTTGCATTTATCTATTCCAAATTCCATTTTTATGTCATTTGTGAATTGTTCCGTAAGGTAAGCTAATTGATTTAAGTGATTTTCCGTATCAGCATAAAGTTTTATGTCATCCATGTAAAGTAGATGGTTAATATTTATGCGAATGTTATTGTTATCAGTATAATGTAAGGGGTAACCTACTGCATATGAATTTAATAACTTAGATAGGGGATTTATAGCAAGACAGAACCACAATGGGCTCAGTGCATCACCTTGGAATATTCCTCTCTGTATTTTTATTGGATTGGTCTCTATCATTTTAGTCGGAGTCGTGAGTATTAATCGTGTTTTCCAGAGACTCATCAATGATGTTAGTAAAATGATTAGTTTTGGATGTATTTTGTACATCTTCAGGACTTCTATTAGCCACGAATGGGGGACTGAATCATAAGCTTTTTTGTAATCAATGTACATGGAAAACAAATCGGACTTCTCTTTCTGAACTTGTTTCAGTATAACAGAGTCTATGATTAATTGTTCCTTGCAGCCTTGACTGAATTTTCGACATCCCTTCTGTTGTTCGGCCAGTATACTATTGTCATTAATGTGTTTATATATAAGTTCAGATACGCATGATGTAAGGATTTTATATACAGTTTGCAAACATGTTATAGGCCTGTATTTTGCAGGGTTATTATGATCATTATGATCTTTTGGTATCATGTACGTAATTCCGACTGTCATGTAAGCTGGCATTGTTAAAGGGTTTACTATAAATTCATTAAGATGATTATAAAGGTAACTATGAATGCTTGTAAATTTTTTATACCAGTAATTGTGAATAAAATCTGATCCAGGTGCTTTCCAATTATGCAACATATTAATTACCTTTTTAAATGTTTCTATTGGGATATGCTCAAAAGACATTTCTTGAATGTTTAAATTGCTATTTCTAGTTTCGGTTTGTATCCAGTTGGCATGAGTATTATGTTCAACAGATCTTTCCCAGATTTCTGCCCAAAACTTTCGCATGTCCTCTGGATTAGGGCCGTCACCTAGCCAGTTTCTTTTTTGTACGTTAGCTGTTGTTTGTTTTATGTTTCGATAAAATTGTTTTTCATTGTTCTGGAATTGATTATTTTGTTGTTTTCTTAATGTGCATGCTTTGTATCTACATAACCGACCTGATATGACTGCAAGTTTTTGTTTGAGTGTGTCAAGTGTGTGTGTGTGAGATGTTTATTTTGTTCCTCATGTACTGAATGAGTTTTGTGCTGTTGTACTATGTTTTTAATATGTCTTTCTAGATGTTTTGATCTAATTCCGTTAATGTATTGTGTTACTCTGCCAATTTTTGTTCGCAACTCACCTAGTCTCCTTTCTAGCCGTTTTTGCCACTGTGGTTTATAATCGTCTTTAGCTTGGTAAGATTTTTTTTGAGATTCGTACGATAATTTTGCCCCGTTTACCTTAGCTGCTGTCCAAGCAGCGCAATATATTGCAGTTTGTAATGTAATAAAGTCCGTTTCTGTATTTATAGTTTCGGGAAGAGTTTTTTCATTAAGATAATGAACTATTATTGCGAGTTTTTTAGATGGATTTTGTTTAGGGATGTAGACTCTGCTTGTGGGGTCAGTGTCTTTAAAATGTAATATTGCTTGCTGAAAAGTTTCGTCTATTAAGGGATCTCTCTCAGGTTGTGATAGACTATGTAAAGAGACTTCAATGCTATTTATAAAGGGAATGTCAGTATTGTTAGCGTCTTGTGTATTTTCTTGAATTGTATGAGGTATTGTATTTGCGTCACGTTACTGAATAACAGAGGGCACTTATTACAAAATTTTTCTTTCTTCTAGAACAATCTACCAGAAACAATAAAATTTAAAGATTATTTGGTAAATATACATTATTCTTGGGATAATAAACACTTTTTGTTCCATATCGACTTGCTATACCTTAATGCACAACTGGGTATATTTTCTATAAAAATATTTTTAAATTTATGAAGCTAATGCGTCTTGACTTTTCGGTGATGTCACTTAGACTAAATGACAAAAATCGGAGATATATCCTATAGTACAAAAGTTACAGACGACAATTTTGTTGCTGATGTCGGGTCTATTACTACTACATACTTAAATGTATTTGCATACCACATTTTATGTCTGGGGTTTATATTTTCAGTTCCAATAACAAGTGCTATAATTTTTCTTTAATGTTTCATACTGGAAACCTGTAGAATGAAATACCATTGCAACAATACACAAAAAAAAATATCGAAACTTCAACACCGCTGATCGTATGCGTGCTTCACTATGTTTACTAACTTTACTTAACTAATAATGGGCATGATTAGTTATTTACGGAAAATTTGTGGTGCACTAGGATTAGTGCACCAGCCAGCAGTCTAAAGAGTATGTGTTGTACAGGTAGAGATGAAGCAGAGCGTGACGTCACTGTCGGCGGCGGTGGCGGCGGGCGGCGCCAACTTCAGCGCGGGCCAGCGCCAGCTGCTGTGCCTGGCGCGCGCCGCGCTCGCGCGCAACCGCCTGCTCGTGCTCGACGAGGCCACCGCCAACGTCGACCCCAAGTCAGTGCCAGCATTGTATACTGCTACCTCTACCGTTACAGCCTAGCAAAAGTTCTCTCTCTCTCTCTCTCTCTCTCTCTCTCTCTCTCTGCCGCCTCCCTACTCCTGCTCTACAAGCCCACCTCAAACGTCGAGCCTAAGTGCATTGTATATCGCCACAACACTACACGGTCAACGTTAGGGTCGGTTCATTTTTTAACAATCTTTCATTCACTTCAATTATATGTATATGTAATTTAAAAAAAATTGATTCAATTTTCACACGTCCGAACGACTGCATAATCTTATAAATTAACTGCTGTTTCGTTACAGAAATGCTTATTCGTTATTCTTAATTATATAAGTAACTAGCGATCCGCCCGACTTCACACGGGTGAATTCTGGATCTCGACATCAGCGCCACCTACCAATCCATACCCTACTTAAACACACACAAAAAATTGCGTCAATATTGCTCAAGCCTTGTAAAAATTGCTAACGTTTCTAAATTTGATTGCAGTACTGATGCCTTAATCCAGAAGTCAATACGCAAACACTTCGCCGAATGCACAGTGATAACGGTGGCTCATCGACTGCACACTGTCGCCGACTCCGATCGAGTCGTCGTAAGTTTTATTCAAGTGTCATACGCTTAACGTGAACATTCCACATAAAAAATCTTATATAGGTCGACGTTCAGTGCATTTTTATTTTTTTTTTATCAATTAATATCAAATTATTTCAAAGATATGCCACTATATCACCGAGAACTATTTTTCAATTTGAATCACGTGATATAGATATATAATAATAGAGATAAAACTCATGTTCTTGCTAATTAATTTTTAACTAACAACAATTATACGCAAAATAAAAAACTGAGTAAACTTTCTCAGGTCATGGAAGCCGGTCAGATTGTGGCGTCAGGTCATCCACACGAGTTGCTACAGAAAAGTGACGGCTACTTCACCCGCATGGTGAAGCAACTGGGCCCCGCCTCGGAGCAGAGTCTGAGGGAGCTAGCTAGCAACGCCTACGCACAACATATCAAATATGTAGACGCCGACGAACAAGGCCAATCTTAATACTTTTATTAAATAATTTCGAATACTAGGTAAATTATGGTAGAAAGCTCTTGTAATACATATTAAAATAATTTATAGTGACGCATTCGAATTTTCATAAATATTATGATACTAGTTGTTTGTTATTTACATAGAATACTAGATAATACATAATAGAACGGAGGAGTGGGTGGAGCCGGTATAGCTATTAAAATGTCACTAACATGTCAATTCAAACGTATAAATGTCAACACGAGATGTGTTTTGACATTACAATCGTTTCCAAATTTCGCATGCAAATTATTTAGAAAATGTCAAATAGCACCCTATTTACAAATACATATGTATTAAAATTAAAACGATTTTTTATTGATGATCTTGAACATTAATCAAAAGTCTAAAATGTGTAAATTTACTCAGTCTGTCAACACAGCGACTCGGGTTTGGCGACGCCAATCCTCGTACGAAATAAGGTTGACAGCCATTCTATTGTGTATTATAGTATTCTATGGTTATATATATTACATGATAATAATTATAAGGTAATTTAAAAGCTACGCCGGTAAACATACTTAATAGAACAAAAAAGAATCTGAATGACATCCCTATTGCGACATTGGTGACGTAACATTAATTTAATTTTTTTACAGTTTTCAATTCCCGTTAATGATTGCAGATATCAAACGTTAACCCCACTGAAATTTATCAAAAAAAAGGTATGCAACTAGAAACTATTAAAAATAGTTATGATAGACGTGTACCTTAAAACCGTACTATTAGATTGTACATTAACTGTCACAAACACTCACGCCTGTGACCCAGAGGGGTAGGCAGAGACTACAGACTTCCATTTAACATGATCCTTACATACCTCTCTCGCCTCTTCCACATTATATGGATGTCGCCCCTCTTTTCGCCCCTCCGGGAGAACTAACTGATGTCACACTGTCTAGGAAAAGCCTTTGAGTAAAATAATTAATGTGTGCGTAGTTCAAAAACTTGCCTCAAATAGTCACAAATTGTACGTAATTATATTTTTTTTTATGGAAGAGGGGGCAAACGAGCATGCGGCTCACCTGATGTTAAGTGACTACCGCCGCCCATGATCAACCGCAACACCAGGGGAATTGCAGGTGCGTTGCCGGCCCTTTAGAAAGGAGTAAGCTCTTTTCTTGAAGGTCTCCAGGTCGTATCGGTCCGGAAAAATCGCCGATGGTAAACTATTCCACAGAGAGGTTGTACGCGGAAGAAAAATCCTTTTGAAACGTACTGTGGTGGACCGCCAAGCAACCAGATGGTGTGGATGGTATCGGGACGTTTGACGCGTAGTGCGTTCACGAAATTTGGCGGCTGGGATTAATCCGAACAATTCCTCAGAGCACTCTCCATCGGGTATATGCGAAATAAAATGCAAAGAGATGCAACATCTCTTCGTAGTGCCAGTGAATCGAGCCGATCGGAAAGCACTCGGTCGTCGACGATTCGAGCCGCTCTGCGCTGGATACGGTCAAGTGGAAGGAGCTGGTACTGGGGAGCCCCAGCCAAGAGATGGGAACAGTATTCCATGTGCGGCCGAACCTGCGCCTTGTAAAGTCGCAGGCGGTGTGCCGGCATGAAATACTGTCCCGCTCTGCTGAGCACGCCAAGCTTTTTAGAGGCCAATTTGGACTTGTCTTCCAAGTGACCACGAAACTGCACGTCACACGATATGTCTACGCCGAGGATTCCGATACTGGCTGAGGCAGCAAGGGGAGTGCCTTGAAACTGAGGAGATACGACAAAGGGGTTCTTTTTAGCGGTTAACGCACAAACTTGTGTCTTCTGGGGGTTAAACTGGACTAGATTTAGTCGCCCCCAATCCGAGACTGTGTTCAGCGAATACTCGACTTCAGACACAAGTTTGTCCCGGCATTCGGAGACGTTTTCCCGAGAAATATTGTCTCGGCCGGTGTAAAGAGCATCACCAGTGCTGTCATCTGCACAGCAATGAATGTTACGTGTTTGCAACATATCATTGATATGCAGAAGAAACAGCGTTGGCGATAGCCTTGTGGAACACCAGCATTAATAGGCTTGCAATCGGAGCTTGCACCGTCCACAAAGATTTTGATGCTCCGATCTGCAAGAAAACTGGTGATCTAATCGCACAATTTCTCGGGAAGCCCATAGGAAGGGAGCTTCGAAAGAAGCGCTTTGTGCCAAACCCGATCGAAGGCCTTCAAATGTCCAAACTAACGGCCAATGCCTCCCCCTTGGACTCTACTGCCTCCGCCCATCTATGAGTTAGGTAGACCAGAAGATCACCAGCTGACCGACCACGGCGAAAACCGTATTGGCGGTCACTTATCAGCTGGTGATCCTCAAGGTACCTCATGAGCTGGCAGTTTACAATAGACTCCATTGTTTTGGAGAACAAGAAGGTCACGGCGATAGGCCGGTAGTTGGACGGGTCTGAGCGGTCGCCTTTTTTAGGGATCGGGTGGACGAAAGCCGTCTTCCATGATTTTGGGACTACACCTAGGTAGTAGGAGTACCGGAAAAGACGCGTTAAAACCGGTGCCAACTCTGGAGCACACGTCCTCAGCACAATTGGGGGGGATTCCGTCAGGCCCACTCGACTTGTGGATGTCCAGGGAGAGGAGTGCTTTGCGAACCGAGCGCTGTGTGAACTGCACTTCCGGCATGGAGCACTCACACCGCGGGATGGTCGGCGGCGTACTCCCCCCGTCATCGAGAGTCGAGTTGGATGCAAAGAAAGAGCCTAGAAGATCGGCTTTCTCCTTTGCGTTATGGGCCAGTGAGTCGTCCTCTCTGTGCAGAGATGGAAAAGATGGCTGACAGAAATTCCTGCCTTGGCCTGCCGGTTCCAGAAGGAAGGCGAACTAGTTTCTCGCCAATTCTGCCTATGTGCTCTGACTTTGCCTTGGCAATGACTCTTTTGAAGGACCTAGAGGCGGAATTATACTTCTTTTTTATAGTGCTGGTGTTTACGTCCCGGGACGCTGATGCGTCAGCTCAGGCTCGGTAGCACTCCTGCTTATAGCATGATGCTATTTTACAGGAGCGACCAAACCATGGCTGAGATTTACCTCCAATGGGCACCACAGAGAAAGGAATAAAAAGTTCCATACCCTGAAGTACCACATCAGCGACAGAATCAGCAACAACGTTGGGATCGTCCGGCGAGAAGCAAACCCGCCCCCAAGGGTAGGATGCAAAGAAAGACCGCATCCCATCCCAATCGGCTGACCTATGTGCCAAACACGGCGGCAGCCTGCAGAATGCAACTGGGATTTCAGCGTGAGTGGCACCACACTCCGGACAAAACAATGGTCCGAGGAGCCTAAAGGGGCTTCGACGGAAAACTGATATCCGTCCGGGTGAGAGGTCAGCAGAAGGTCCAACAGGGAAGGTGCATGATCCTCCACATCTGGAATCCGCGTAGGCGAAATAACCAGTTGTGTCAGACTATATGCCAGGGCAAAATCATGAACAGATCTCCCCGCATGATCGGTTAAACGTGAACCAAGCCATTCGGCGTGATGGGCGTTAAAGTCGCCGAGGATCACGATCTCTGCGGAGAGGATCTGCTGTAGCAACGAATCTGTAGCCATTTGGACGTGGTCGAAGAGTCGGTCTGTTTCGGCATTACCGCTATGGGACCTATAGAGGCATCCGTAGACGCGTGGATGTTCGTCGCTGTCTACGCGTAGCCAAAGGATGGACAGGTCCGAACCTTCAATTCTGCCGAGGCGTTGAGAACAGATGTCCTCTCTGACGTAAACGCAAACTCCAGCCCGAGGCACAAAGGAGTGTTCCAGTTTGTACCCCGGGTAGGAGAGATACGAGGCATCAGCAGGAGAGAACACCTGGTCAGGAAGAGCAGAGCCGGCCTAGCCGTCTCGAGATGGTAGTGGATGGCGTTTAGGTTAGAGTGAAGTCCCCTGATATTGCAGAAATTCACGGACAGCGTGGCAGGGGTCGCCTTGGTCTTGTTGCTCCGTTTGCCCCGAGCAGTTGTAGTCTTGAGAGGAATTTTGGCCGCCCCAGAATACTGTCAAGAAAGAGCGGGGCAGTCGATCATTATTTGATTCCGCTACCATGTTGATGGGGGGGGGGGGGGATTTGGGCCTCCGGCCACCTGCACTCACCAGACGAAACGCGGGGTTAACCGGTTTGAGCCGGCCCATACGTGCAACAGCAAAGCTGCCGCGTGGCTCTACCACTGTCAAAATATAATATAAGTGAAATGCATATGTAACGAAGGTACATATGTACGTACTTTATTTTTATATATGACGAGCATTTATATACTTCATTTATAATAATAGCATTAGGAAAAAAAGGCTCGTAAAATCAGGAGTGAAAAAAGTTTAATATCAAAGTAATTTCAAACAATTTTAAAGAAAAGTGGTTTTATTTACTACTGTACTGTTCCTAAATTACCCTTGGCTGATAAAGCAAAATTATAATAATTAATTTAGGAACTGGTATTTAAATAGATTATAATAAATTAGGCATAAATCGTAATAGTAAAATGTTTACTGTACTTTTGTTATAATTCATCAAATGCCTGTGTGTGCCTTATAAAAAACCATCTTTAACTTCTGTATAAATCCTATTGTAAATGAAGTGTAGGTACATAGTTTCTGCTTCTGTGCTGAAATGAATGAAAACGTGTTCAAGTTAACGAAAATAGGTTAAAATTATAATTGTTCACCAAAATAGCGGTATAATATGAATAAGTTGTGACGTATTTAAGATATAAATATGTTGTTACTTTACCTCATCGAAGAAGTAATCTTAGTACCTATTCTGTTTTAAATAAAATCTAATAATATCGAGTTGTCGATTTGAAATAGGTTAACTTTTTGAACCATTTAAATTTGTACTTAAACGTCCTTTTTGTAATTTAAAAAGACTAAAAGTCTTTTTTCTACTGCTATAAATGATAGATTTTTAATATTAAGTTAGTAGTTCCTTTTAAGTAATGTTACTTATCAAAAATTATAACTCACTAA